TGTTGCTGTTGCTGTTGCTGTTGCTGTTGCTGTTGCTGTTGCTGTTGCTGCATATATTTGTTCATCGCTGCATTGTATTGATAAACGTTGGCCGGATTCTGTGGAATTGGCATACTATTGCTAGCAATAAAATTACCGTTTGATTGAGGTGGTTGCTGCATGTTGAAGTTTGGCCGTTGTTGATTTCCCTTCATGTAGTTCATCTGTGGAAGTGGCATGTATGGTGATTGCGCCGACATATTCTGATTGGCCGCATCAAAGTTTGGTGCACGTCCCTGGAGCGCTTGCTGTGGAATTTGATGCAACATTTGTTGCTGCGCTTGGATCATATGGTTGCGTTGGGCATCCATCGTCGGTGGATAGGCAGCAGCTGGCATTCCATTCAAATTCTTCGGCATACCGTTCATATCTTGCATGTGCGATGGTTGAGGCTGTGATTGAATTGTACTTTGAACCGGTTTTTGCATTTGTTGCATTTGTTGCATTTTCTGTGCCTCCGAGCGCATATCTTGGCGATAACCATTCTCATTGGTCGTCTGCAATGACATGATATTCTGTTGGCGACTGGCCGCTTCATTCTGTAATTTCAGAATATTTTGCTGCTGTTGGAGCATTTTGCTATCGACATCGGTGCCGTTTGTGTAGTTTGTTGAGGTGCGCAGAACGCGTTCAAGGATTGGATTCGGAATGAAATCATCCTCTTCATCATCGTCGGCGGTGGCAACTAAGATCACTTGATCACAGAATGATACGCTCTTCTTCTTTGTACGTTCCTGGGGTTTCGATTGAGCATTATCGTTGCTATGCAGCGTCTGATGAACGACATTGTTCAACATTTCAACCTCTCGAATCTCTTCGGCAATTTGACTTGCCGGCAGTTGATACGAGGGTTTGCTCGACACAGACATATATGGAATTGACGATTTGCTGATCGCATTATTGTGCATTGAAGCCGGCGCACAGTCGACTTCATCGTAGGATTCAGTTGAACTAGCATTATTTGAGATCATTGAATTTACAGACATATTACGTGCATTTGAATCAATCAATAGACCATTCATGTTAGTGCGAATCTGAACTCGTTGTACCACCGGATTTGCATTGAGAATTTCCTGTGACGATGAATTTGATCGTATTAGAATACCGTTTGGTTCCATCGTTTGTGGCAGCTTAATTTGTTCGAAACGAGATGTCAAATCTCGAACCGTTTTTTGATTTGCTTCATCGGCCATCGGTTTTATTTCGTTTTGTTTGTTTTGCATGTCATAGTTGGAAATTTGGTCGACATTGTTGGCGTTAGCGTCGAGGCGAGTTCTCAGTTTTTGTTGTTGCTGTTGTTGTTGTTGTTTCAACATTTGCTGACGCTGTTGAAATTGAGCTAATATGCTTGTGGTTCCCTCCTTTGTGTCGACTGATTTTTGTACTGATGGCGTGGGTGTTGTCGATTCGCTCGACGTTTCAAACGATGAAATTTCGTTGGTAGTTGGTGGTGGAGGGAACTCTTCGCTTGCCTGTCTTGAATGGCACGATGATGCTGGAGGTGTTGGATACGGTGGCAATTCGAAATTTGGCTCGAATCGACAATCAACTTCGTCGACTGTATCCTTTTGCATATTTTGCATGGGTGATTGTTCTTGATGAACTACGGCACAGGTTGTGATAATGGTTTGGCACGAGTCTTCACTCATGCTAGTGTTTGAGCTCATGTTCGAAATAAGCGATACATTCGCTTGATGGAATGGTGTGATCGCTGATATCGGCATGAGTTCCTTGTCCATTTGCTGTTGGTGCAATTGCAGCTGATGCTGGGACAACGTCGAATTCGTTCGCAATGGAGGTGGTGGAGGTACTTTGACTTGTGTTAATTGCTGACGTGTTGCCATGCCATTTTGAACGTTTTTACGCATCAATTTGCTTCGTTCAAAGTTCGGATTTCCACCTCCGGTGATAATTGTCTGATACTCGAAGTGACCTTCCGAAAGGTATCCACTCATTGAACTACCGTTTGGACTAGCAGTGCTTAAGCCAAGACCCAATACACTGTCATCAACAGCA